TAGGAAATAAGATAAAGCATCAGGAAGACAAACAGGATGAACAGTACCCGTTTGCTATTGTTATTTAAAAATGCTTCTCTTTTTATAGTCGCCATAAAACAGATTGCCGCTTCTTGTTTGCCTGTGAATACGATATTCCATTGTGTTTATATCCCGACTCAATATCCTTTGCCTTGTCCATCGATCATAAAGCCGGCACAATAATTATCCGCTACCGCAAAATTGACACTTTTAATACGCTTCGATGCCGATTTATTACTTAACCGGCCGGATTCGCTACTGAACTCTATTTACACGTCACCGAAACGCACATTAATATAAAAAAACTTACAGGCCTGGGTTTTAGGAGGGGCTATGATTGCCCGGATTAAACGGGTTTTTATGGAGGCAAATAAATTTATTGTTCTCGTAAAAGCGCCCGGAAATAATATGGTTTTCACCTTGCATAAAATCAAAGTATAATTACTAATGTACCTGCTAAAATGAGCAGTGTGCCGATGGCCACCTTCAGTGTGATCGTTTCTCCAAGTATTAATGCCGATAGGATCAAGGTTAATGCCAGGCTGGATTTGTCAATAGGGGCTACCTGAGATACGTTTCCCGATTGCATGGCTTTAAAGTAAAAGATCCATGAACCGCCGGTGGCAAGTCCGGAAAGCACCAGGAAAATCCAGTTCTGCCTGCTGAGCGTGGCTATACCGGTAGTGCTGCCTTTGACAAATACGATACCCCAGGCAAGTGCCAGGATGATAACGGTGCGAATCGCTGTAGCTAGATCCGCATCCATACCTTTCATGCCCATTTTTGCAAAAATGGCGGTGAGTGCTGCAAATGAAGCAGACAAGACAGCAAAGAGCTTCCACATAAACTACCAGTTTATTATTTCCATTCATTAAGGTACGGGAATGGTTTTAAAAGCCCGCGCCGGTTTTGTGATTGCCGGCCCTGGCTATTGAGTTTAAATGGGATGGCCAGCCAGTATAGGTTGATTTTCGAAGCTGAAATAAAAAAACCGTCCTGTAGTCGGATCGGCTTTTTGTGGTGGGTGGGGGTTAGGGGCT